CGCGGAGCACCTGATGAGAAAGCCCCAAGTCACGGTGAACTGTTCGTCTGCACAGGACACCAGGCGACAGGGAGGCTGCGCTCCGCACACGCCACTGGCCGCTAGCCTCCCTCCCCGACAGGAGCTCTGTCCTCATCCGTGTCCCCCACAGCTTTACGTTTACACTGTTTGGATTATGTTCCTCTGAACCCCCCACAGGTGTGGTTTGAAGAGCTGCCCCCACCTGTAGCTGAAAGATGAGAGCTTCACTGGAACTGAGCGGCTCGCAGAACGCGGGTGTGGGGCTGGGGTCGCTGCCAGAGCATTCCAGGCCGCGACCTCGGGGTTGAGGAGTTGCTGAAGCAGACGGGCTCTGGGGACATCCACAGTCCCAAAGGCCATGTTCAGATTTGCATTCGTAGGGCTTTGGGCAGCCATGTAGGGTGATAGACTATGGTAGGAATGCAGTTTTTAATTTCTTAAAAAAATGGCAAAGCATTTTTAGTTCTTTTAAAAATGACCAGTTGGAAAGGTGAGCTCTCCCAGAGGTCATGTGGTTAATTTCTAAGCATCTTCACACCTTGTTTTCCCTGGTGGTTGCTTCCAATTCGGTACATTTTTAAACATTTAATATGTAGCACCGAGCAGGTGAACGGCAGGCTGTTGCGGGGAGGAGGTGTGTACATGGCACACAGGTAACAAACAGGTAACAAAGATGTGCACGGCAAACAGGTAAAGCGGGGAGGGGAGGCTGGTGCTAAAATAACCTGCACAGGTTTCGGAGGACTCATGAGAGAGAGAAGAAAGCGTGGCCCGTCAGGGTCTGTGACCGCCTGCGTTCTGTCCTGGGGTCTTCACAAAGCTCTGCGTTTGCTGTGTCACCTCAGGGGGAATGATTTCCTTCAGGAATCTGTAACCTGCTGTCAGAGATAGCAGGCGGAGTGTGGCACGCCGTTCCTGATTGTTTTGGGTAAAGCTGGGGAAACATTTTCAAAATATTAAAGCTTAAAAAGAATTAGATCTGAATCAAAATGTTTGCTCCTGTGTGTACAATTGTGGACAGTGGAAACCTGGATCCTTGATAAGATTCAAACCATCCGTATTGGTGTGAAACGAGCCACTTTGATTGAATTGCGTCAGGGAGCTGCGTGTGCATGAGTGTGAGGAGGCCGGTGGGCCGCCCCGCGCGCCTCCTGGGCTCAGCAGCTGCAGACATGACTTTCCTGGCTCCGCTGGTCAGGCGCGGGCGTGGGCAGGGGGTGGCCAAGGGGCCCCGGCCGGTCACCCGTGATGCGGGGTTCTCCCATGGGGACGCCTCGCCCCGCGGGACGGGAGGCCCGTGTGGACGGCAGGCTGCTTACATGGTGACAAACAAAACAATGCCCCCCCGCCCCCCCACGCGCATAGCTGGGCTGGTAGGTGTAAAAATAGCCGGGCGCCCGGACCGGCCGCCGGGCAGCCTGCAGTTGCCGGGCTCGCAGCTCCGCGTGACGGATGGGGACAGGGGCCGAGGGGCCCTGGGGCGCCTGCGTGGGCCATCCCCGTGCGTGGGCCCCCGGGAGCCCCGGGCAGGGCGCAGAGGCTGAGCCCGCGGGCGGCATGGGCAACGCCGCGCTCTGCCCGCCCTGCCGCGTGGACCGGGGCGCCGGCGCGCACGTGCGGGGGGCGGACGAGGCCGCGGACGGCGACGCCAGCGAGGGGCCGGGGGCGCAGGTAGGTGTGGGGGGCCCTGGGGACCCGGCTCCTGCTCGTGACGTTTTCTCTGCGGGGAGCGGGATGTCCCGCCGCCCGGCCCGCCCTCTGTGCCCACGGGCGCGCTCTTCAGGGTCACGCGTGGGCCGGCGGGGCCTGGCCGCGCGCGGCGGGCGGGGCTGCGCTCCGTGCAGAGGCTTCGCAGCGCGGCTGCCGGCGCCGGGCTTGCAGATTGTAATAATCCAGGGCTCCGGCACGCTCCTCAAAAGGCACAAGGGCTGATTGTGCTTTTCCGCGGGGGGGCCAGAACCGCCTCCTGGAATACTTGGTTTTCATAACTGCGGAGAAGACAGATGAGCTTTGATCGGCCAGCCCAGGGTTTCGGCCTTAGTGCGAGTGATTTATTTCAGGCGAGAGCGTGACCCTGCCATGCGTGGGCCGAGCGTGAGAGGACAGGGTTGTGCCTGGTAGTCCGGAGGGGACACTGGGGACGGAGCCAACTGTGTGGCGCTCTCACTCGGTCCCGGGGAGCTGCCCCGTTCTGCAGCAGTGGGACCGAGACAGAAGCCAGGAAGCGACCAGTGGAAACAGCCTCGGAGCCGGTGTTTGCTGAAGAGCAGAGCGGGTCTGACTGCACTGGGGAATCCAGGGGACAGCACTGTGGGGGTGGCACTGAGGGGACCAGGGGCGGAGAGTATACAGGTCAGGTGGGGGGGGCGCCACCCAGCTTGGCTCCTGGGTTATGGCTTAACTTACCCCCTCCTCCAGGAGGGTCACCCAGATTGCTGGGCGCCACTTCTGGTGCAGTTTCTAAACTGGAGGGAGCAGAAAAGGTGAACTTTGGGGTAACTTTTAGTAACTCTACATGCTTGCTTTAGTTGCAGTATATAAATATATTCCCTAAGACATAACGACCTTATTTAAAAGGTATTTCTGTGAATGTTTTTATTAGTTTAGAATTCACACCATTCTTTAAAATGTTCATAATTCCTTCAGTATTTTTAAGTTACACATGTGATTTCCGTTTTTCACCTTTTAGAAGTCATTAAGAAAAATGTAATGCATGAAAGTAAATTATAGCTGCTTTAAAAATGAAATATAAAGCAATATTTTTAAAATTTAGAGAACAGAAGTGGTGATAATTTCATGTGTTGATAGGTTCTTTTGCTTAAATAAAAGCACGATTTTATATATAAACGTGATTCTGAGGTTCAAGGGATGAAATGAGAAACTCATTAAAAACTTCAGAAGTCAGAAAGCGATTCAGAACTTTTTAAAGAAGCAACCAACGGCAGTTTCGCCCCTGTTAAAACCCTTCTATCCCTGTCAGTGTAGCTATTGGCCTTGAAAAGAAAAGCAAGTTGATTTTAACAAAAAGACAATCTGATTTCTCTGAATTAGCAACGTACGCACAGCTCGCTGATCAGCGAGTAAACGTTTCCACCAAAGCCTTTACAGGCAGAGCCAACAGTGATCGTATAACAGGGAGACGTGCCCACTGCCTACTTTCTGAGATGGTATTCTACTCAGAATTTCTCTACTTTGGGGGGGGGGGAAAAGTTAATTCTTAATACCAAGGATATAGCAAGGACTTAAGCAAAATGTGTGGTTCTGTCTAGCTTGTTTTCCACGCTGAGGCCACCTGCTGCCTTTTCTTTCCAGCGGGCACTGTAGAAGCCACTCCTCACGCATCTAGGTAAACGCATCCCTCCGTCCGTCACTGTCCATCATGCATGCATGTCACAATTAACAATAAATAGTTCTTAAGACTTCAGAACTTTTATTTTTATGGTATTCCTTTTCTGAGGGGGAAAACTAATACAGATCCTTGGCACTATTTTTTCTTTTGGAAATAAACTTCGAAATGTTTTATAGAGTTTATTGTGTTGTTAGGCCAAAAATTTCAAATAAATAAATTTTCCAGTTTTAGTCATAATCAGAATGAAACTCGTGGAAAAATATAAATTTAAGCTAATAAAACTGGAAGGCTTTATGTCAATACTTTATTCTTTTCTATAAGTTTCATTTAGAATTTTGACTATTTTGACCTTTATGTATAGATAAGTACAGCAATGAGAAATAAGTCAGTTATCAGGGACGGTGCTGGGAATAAGCAAACAAAAGTAATTTCCCTGTGAGCAATATTATTGTATGTCCATATTTGAAACTCTACTTATAGGCTTACAAGTTTTTTATAAGAAAGGTAAAGCAAATCAGAATAACTTCCAGGTACGTTATATAGGTAAACACAGAAATTATACCTACCCCCTGCAAAAACAAAAATGAAGCTAAATATTACTTTGGCAGTATGATAATCGTTCTGGTAAAGCATTAAAAAAATATGAGCGATGTAGAGCATGGTTATGGAACTTTCTGTTGGTTATTTAAAGGTAATTATTGAAGGAGATAAGGCACGGCTTCTGTCCTCTGTGAACGTTCAGTCTGGTTTCACACAGGACGTCCGGCTGTGAAGGCAGCAGACAGTCGAGGTGGGTGATGGTCCCTGGGAAACGCTGAGGAGGGGGCCAGAGACTGCCAGCATGTGGGTCCTGCTGGGGGACTGGCCAGCCGCTCCAGCCGGACATGGAAATGCTCCCGTCCAGGCCATGAATTAGCTGCTTCCGTGAGCCTGGCAAGCTGCCCCTTGTACTGAGCTACCTGGAACATCCTCTGGGGCCCCCCAGGCCCAGGCAGCAGGGGCCTCGAGGGCTGTGCGCGTGGGCGCCCGAGCTATACCGTAGCTGAGTGTTTCGACGCCCTTCCGCTAGGAAAGGAGCGGCCACCAGTAGCAGGTCTCGGAAGACAGCAGCCTTGGGCCTCTGGGAAGAAAGTACTTGTGGGGAGCATTTATTGAGCTCTACTGGGCGCCAGGCACTGGGGCCACCAGGGTGCCTAAGACGGGCAACCTTGGCCTGAGGGCATGCGGTCCAGGTGGGGAGGACAGAGCAGGAGGTCCCGTGTCCTGACCCGTGTGGCGCGGGAGCCCCTGATGTTGGGGGCCACTTGAGAACCGCAGCCCTCAGGCTCAGGGTGGCAGGAGAGTCGACCCCGAAGCCTACGGGCCGATCATAGACTCAGCCGTGGGGACAACAGTGACCTCAGGGTGAAGAATGCAGGAGAAGAGGTGTGTAGATAGGGAAGCTGTGTAAGTCCCATGGCTGTCGCGCCGAGCTCCTTGGGACGCGGGTGGAACCGACGCCATTTGGATAAGAAGCGTGGGGTCAGCTCGCCCGGAGCTCCAAGGCCACACTGAGAATGTGGCCCCTGTTCGGTGAGAGACAGCCCAGCGGCCCTTGTGGGGCATCGGTCAGATCGAGGCGTGTGCATCGGATGCTCCACTCTGAGCAGAGCCTAAAGCAGGGCCGGCCCCGGCAGCCACGCGGTTCATATGTGTGAAAAATGGGAATAAATTAGTGACTAGGGAGTCACCCAGAGCAGCAAGTCTAGGTGTGGGCGGTTTCCAGCTGCAGGAGGCCAAAGGCCACGAAAGTTAAAGCAGTGACCAAGGTACAAAAGACATTCCTGGACACCTTTGAGGAACTGGGTGACTAACAAGTCTTAGGTGTGACCTTCTGCCCCAAAGAGGGACGGACCCTCCTACATGCGACTGCGAATAGTAATGCATAGGACACATTACCATATAAAATAATACACGTTTTCTTGAATCATTACGCACTCTCTATATCAAGTTGTGCATAACATGCAACAGTTGCCTTTTAAAGAAATTCCGTGAAAGATTACATTGTGATAGGAGAAATAATAAGCAATCAATATCTAATATTTTGATTACGTTTTTCTTACAATGAGGCTCATCCAAATCACACATAGTTATTTATTTGAACTGTGTAATAACTTTTAATAGTCTTCAGCTGTGTTTAATGAGCTTAGTCCCACTGAACGTACTCGGCTTTTTCAAGGTCACGTGTGATGGAGGTGAGGACGCTCCCTTTTCAGCCGTGTTTGCTCCCTCCCGCAGCACCTGCTGTAATTCTTACCCGTTTTCAGTTGCTGTTTTGGATTTCATGCCTTTTGGTGAAATTTAAAGTTCATTATGCCACAGGAAGCATCTCCTGGTTCCTCCATTTTCATTTAAAGCTTTCTCCCTGAAATTGGGGAGCATAGTATATCACATTGGATTGTCAAATTTTACGTGTTGGACTTCTGAAAGCTTATATTCACATCATATTTGTGTGGGCTTCTGTGACTATAGTAAAACTTTTTTGTACCTTCCTTTAAAATGGGCTTATAGAAGTAAAACTGTTCGGTGGTATCTCCGAAGTCAGCAGCTGGTCCAGAAGCTACAGAGAGCAGCCAGCTGTTGCACAGCAGAGGCTGTGAGCTGAACCAGTGCTTCACTGCTGCCGACATAGTGTTTATTTTAAACTTGGTTTTTTTTGTTTTTTTTCTCTCTCTGCAGTTATCAATGAATTACAAAAGGGAGCTTTGAAGTTTAATCTCATGTTCTTTCTGATACAGTGGCAGCTTTTACACCCTCGTATAACAATTATTAAGTACATGCCATGGACTTAAAATTCAACCTTTAAGGTTGATAATTTGTCTAATGAAGAATTTTCACCTCAGGCCAGCCGAGTGGCTCAGCTGGTTAAGAGCTTGCTCAAGAGTGCAAGCTCTGAGCAACAGCGGTTCGATGCCCGGCCTGAGCTGAGCTGCTACTGAGCTGCCAACAGGCGGCAGGATGGCTCAGCTAAAAATAAATAAATAAATAAATAAATAAAATAAATTAAATTAGAAAAAACAAAATAAAAGAATTCTCACCTTATCAGGGAAAATTGCAAGGAATCAGGTCCCTCCAGGCAGAAATGACAAAAACCTGAGTTGAAGACTCTGTTTTTGCTCCTTTAGTATCGTATCTTCCTGGGTTGTTGAGCTTCTGAAGGAAGTTAGTTAGAAAGCACCTCCTAAGACATCCAGCAAAACAGAAGTATACAGAAAATTTGTGACTCTGTTTTGAAAACCATTGGTTGTCGTGTCTAGTTTCCCCCCAGATTTATAAAAGGAAAAGAGCATTTTTCAGAAATAAAAGACATTTACCAATTTTCCACTAATAACTTGTATATCTATAATTCATCATTATCTTTTAAAAAATGGCATATCATATTCTGCTTACTAGGCATTCTTGGACCAACTGAGTGAGGATGACATCAGGGTTGTGTAACAAATACAGAGAATGGACGGTCTCGCTCGTCCCCTGTCAGTGCCTCCCCAAGTGTGTTCTGTGAGCCACCTACACCAGAAGAATCACCTTGGGTGGATTGCTGAGCCCCACTCCAGACCTCCAGAATTAGTATCCCGGAGGTGGGAACTGAGAACATTTATTTAACAAGACTAAGATCTCTAAATAGCCCGTAAGTGTGCTAAAGTGTGATAACCACTGCTTTATGTTCTAAGGGGTGACTTTACTGAGGAGACAGGCTGAACGTGTCACATCAGCACATAAGGCTAAGAGAATAAAAACCCTTCCCATTGTGATAAGCTGCTTTTAATCCAGGTTAATTCAGCTGATTGCCAAAATTCTATCTGGTGGCAATTAAAGAAAACAAGAGCACGCAGGACACGTGGGAACGAGGGTGCTGCCCGCACGCCGGCCCCCTGCGGCTCTCACACGCTGTCCGAGAGCTAGAAAGTGTCTCTTGTGTTGCCGGGACGTTTGAAAGCACAGCATCCGAGTAAACTGAAGCCCCACTCCCAAAGCTGACAGTTTCTGTGCCGCCTAATTTACATCGTGATCCTACACATTTTATAGACAAGCAAACTGAAGCTTATCTGAGTTCAGTAATTTGCTCAAGGTAAGTGGTAGAACAGGATTGAAAGGGTCGTTCCCAGCTCATTGTGTTATGCTGGCTTTTTAAGGAAAGAGAAACATAAAAAATGAGACATTAGAAAAAGTAAAAAGTGTGTTGAAAGATTTTCAACAATTGAAAAAAATTGTCCACTTGGAAAATTTCAAGTAAGTTTCTCACTTATGCCCATACCAAAATAAATTTCAAGTAAGTAAAAGTTAAATAAAAAAATAATTTTTTGACAAGTAGAAGAAAATGAAGAGAAATATTTTATTGATTTGGGGGTTGGAAAGCCTAAAATCAATGGAATAAAAATCTGAAGGGAGATGATTATACTTTCAATTTATAAAATTTAAAACTTCTAAAAGTCAGAAGATACATTAAAAAGAAAATGAATTTAGAAAAATTTGCAACAAATATAACAAAAGGTTACTTGTCTATATGAAGTTTTTAAAAATAAAAGAGACATTTGAAACTCGCAAGGGACAAAGAATGTAGACAAGTCAAAGGCAAGAAATGTATGACCGAGTTTTCAAACTCTTCAGAAGTGACAAAGGTCAGTGGCAGCCACAGGGACAAGCGTACCAGTGTGAGCGAGCGGGTGTGGACGCGGCTCTCCCACGACAGCCGTGGTCCCTCCGAGCCCCTCGTGGGCAGCCCTGCACCGCGATGCCTTGTCCCACCTCGGCGGTGTACTGCACACGGTCCCAGAGGAAGGCTTACATTCGGGGCTCACAGCGCTCGACAGTAATGAAACGGGAAAGCACCAGCCGTAGAGTGATTAGGGAAGGTGACGATTGTAAGCTCTCTGTAAACTGTCACATGGATTTAGAGTATCTTTCAAAGCTTTGGTGTAGGCAGAATTGGTAATGTTGCCTTTTAGAAGTAGAAGACACAGTATTATTATCCCACCTTTGTAAAGACATTATTTATACACACAAACACAGTGGATAGTGGAAAAATTTTAGAAGAAAATACATCAAAACATAGTTAAGTTTGAGTAATAGGATTATGGCTGCTGGCTGATTTTGTTTTCGTTTATTTTTAAGTGTTTTTATGGGAATATATATATGTAGATATGTTTCTTTTATGATCCCGCTACCTTTTTAAAGAGAAGATAGATTATAAGGACAAAAACGGAGTAAAGAATATAGACAGGCACATGGTTTTAGACAAATACTCTTATGGGGTGTATATTTTCTTTGTTTCGTAACAAATTATTTAATATTCTGCACTTATCTAGCTTTACAGTTAATTTGGAGAAGAGGACAATTCATGGGAACACTTGCTACATTTTTGCTGAGAGTATAAGATTTAGTGCTGTCATTTCTTGTGGGTGAGATCAGTATTTACGCGTAAGTGGCAGGTGTGGTGACCAATAAGAACAGCCGGGAGAGGCCTCCCCTGTCCTGGCAGGGGTCCGGGGTCCAGGGAAACCCCGTTGGAAACGTGTCACTGTGAGCGCTGAGGTCTGCATGCAGATTTCTGCACTGGAACAAAGTCTGCAGCTTTCCATGCCATCTGAAAAGTGTTTTGTTTGCCTGGTAATAGTGACAGCTGTGACAGAGACACCACTCTAGATTCAGTCATCGAGCATAACGTGCGATAGTATTTTGTAATAATATAGCTGTGTCCTTAGAAGTCACAGCTCTTGGGCTAGTGACGTTAAAGAATACAAATCTTGGCATTCTGGGGGTGTCCACGGCCTACAGGTCAAACGTGGGGCCCTGCCCTGGACCCGAAAGGGAGCCGGGCGCCCCGAGATTGGGACGTGACCACTGGGCCAGGGGTGTGGCTGCCTAGGTTTTCCCCAGAACAGGACGCCGCGGGCGCCCCATCAGTCAGTCCACAGTGAGAAGGTGCTGGCACTTTGGGGGAACCTGCGTGGTGGCTGTGAGGGCGCCGCTGGTGCCGGTCCCGACTCTGGCGTCCGTCCCCACAGTCCGTGGACAGCAGGCTTTGTCTCGCCAACCCTCAGCTTCCTCATCTGGGTGGTTTGTGAGGACTAGATGGGAATATAAGTGTTTGTCCTCAGCAGGCTTAGCCGTCAATATTCTAGGAGGAAATGTGGGAAAGAATACGAAAAGAACAAAATACGATTCATGCCTCGAGGGGGTGACAGTCTTGATGAGTGGCTGGGCTGCTGCACACGAAGCGACGTGTGCAGATGGCAACGTGACAGGCGGCACGCAGAAGCCTGACGTGGTGGGTGCCAGTCCATATTCTGCAGAAAAACAAAGGCTTTAATAAGGAGTCACTGAAACTCCATAAATGTACACAAATCGTGCAAAAGCAATGAAAGATTGACCTGCGTGCTCAGTGTGACTTGACAATTGTTTATCATAAAATATAGTGAAAAAATTGTAGTCAATCCAATCAAAACCAAGTGATTAATCCTCTTACTGGAGTCATGACCAGAAGAGAGAGGCTTTGTTTGGGTCAGGCTAAGTCTCTGCAATGATTCCATGATCGGTGCTAAATTAGCAGTGACCTCTGGGAAGGGCGTTTGCGGCTGAGGGAAGCTCAGGCATGCGCATGCCCCGCCCTTCTCACATTGGGGGAAAAACCCAATACAGCTGGCGCCTGTCCAGCTGTGGGGATGCCACGGGGTCCACTGTGCACCCGTCTTCTCGTTACTCCACGTGCTGTGCTGGGTCCCCTTTTCCAACACTGCCGACAGAAACGCCACACTCTGCAGACCTTTCAAATGAAATTCTCAGCATCTCCTTTCCCAGCGTTTGTCCTTTAATTACTGAGACAGAAACCTGCCTCCTGGCCCTTCGCCAGCGGCCAGCGAGAAGGTCCCTGAGCTGTTAGTGTTTAAGAAAAAGGTGAACATTTCAACTAAGTTAGTTTAAGTGGATGGACAAGGTCTTTGGGCTACAGTTAACTACTGCTCTGCAAAAAATGTTCTAATGCTATCTTCTCCTATGACCTAAAAGTAATCTAAGTCTTGTTTAGAAATTTTCTAAGTTTAATGTTTGGCCAATTAAAGCTAGAATGACGTGTATTGATACTACCTGTTGTCAGCTTTGCATAAAACTAAAATACCTGGTAACAGTTCTTCCCAAGGGTTCATTATCAGCATAATCAGCTTTAGTGGCTGGTATGTTTCAGCCACCAGCTGCGGCTTTGGAAAGTCTG